AAAAAAAAAAAAGAAAAAGAAAAAAGAAATAGTTATAGCCTTAATTTCTTCATCTATAAATGGAAATGCTGCAATTTTTCCTTTTGTTAGTATCTGGAAAAGTCAAATGAGATAAGGCAGAATGAAAAGCCCCTTGAAAACAAAAAACCATTAGTTTATAACAGAGTTGTGATAATGTAACTTATCTGGCCTCTAAAATGATTAATGTCAGGGCCTCACCTACTTTGAGGATGTGGGGACACTCAGATCAGGTGAAAAATAAAAATCCTAAAATTTTACCCAAGTACGCAGTTATTTACATCCACGTGTAAGTGCTGCTGCCTGCACAAAACCAATGTGAAATGTAAAGTAACGTAAGAGCGAGGTCAGCTCATTCAGAAGATGTAGGATTATTTATGTTTGGTTTCTGCGTGGTCTTAAGTGTTTTTGCTCTGTAAGTTTGTTTCTAGGGGAAAAAAAAAAAGGAAATCCAGTGTGTGTAATTCTTTGGGATGTTTTTTAGAATGAAGCTGCCTCATGAGATTGTGGGTTGTTCCTTGCATCTGAAAGCCTGCTATGGCTCATTGAGCCCCGAATGGCTGGGTTCTGTGTTTCTCTCTTAGGATTTACAGAGTGTGGGGCCTTCCCTGATGCTCCCAAGTTCCACCCCTCCTCTCAGGTACTTCAAATCTCTTGGAGAGGGCTCGGTCTGGCCGGATAAGCTGTCCCCTGACAGAAGCAGCTGTTTGGAATTATCCCACAGCTGCCTTACCCTAGTGGGCCATCCAGCTGCCTCTCTCTGAGCAGACTTATCTGAGGAGCAGCTGGAGAACCTCAAGCAGAGCTAAGGGAGAAGGCTGGGGCAGGGCAGTGCTGAGCTTCATGGCCTCTTTGCTTTGTTGCAGTCTGAGGAGAGAGACACTCATTTGGACAGCTGGTTCCAAATGATATGTATATGAAAGAATAGGTCACAGTACTGACTATATGCTATGCTCCTATAAGTAAAATTTATTTTATTGCCAACTATATCAGGAATGAAATTGGCTACAAACAATAAAAAAATCATCCTAAAGTCATGTATAGGTTTATTTATTTCATGCAGTAAGAACCCTAGGGTAGGTATTCATGACTGGTATGGTGGCTCCATAGGCCTGTCCATTGAGCCTTACCATATGTGTATAGGCCTTTATCATCAACTGTGTTACCTTGTGGGTGCAGACTAGTTGCTATATTTCCAACCATTGAATTCACTTTCCAGATGGAAAGAGTCAGGGCCAGTGCCTTTATTAAGAAAACAAAAATGTTCCCAGAAATCGTGACTTTGTTTTTTCTTGCCAAAACTGTGTCATGTGGCTATTCCTAGCTGCAAGGGAGTCTGATGAAGCAGGTATTTTTTAGCAAGGCGAATTAAGCTCTTGCAGTTTGGTTAGTGGGAAAGGGAAGTGAGTATTGAGTAGGCAATTAGTAGTGTCTGTTACCACAATACAACCTGTTTGGATAACCTCCATTTTCACAAAGAGTGCCTCAATGAGACATCCCTGGAATGACTGCTGGGTGGTCCGAGGGCAAGTACAGCTTGAAGGATGGTCTAACTTGTAAGGATGGAAGGAGTAGGGGGTTGGAGAGTGGGAGGGAGATTAGCCTAGATGTATTTAATCCAGTGAGCCAAGTACTGCCTGTATATGCCACTAAGCCCCAGCCTATAGCCCAGAGGGCATCATTCCTAGAAACTGTGAATCTACATTTTGATTTGGAATGTCCTGCAGGGAACCATGGGAGTGCCTTTCTTTGGGAATGAAAGGATAGGTCTGGTCCTATCCACCTTTTGCAGGGTGACCTTTAGGCATGACAAGCCATCTATAGGGTTCTTGCAGGTTCAGATAGCTATAGTAGCTATGCTGTTCTCCCAGGGACAGACCCTTTACCTTCCCCCTCACCCAACTAGGTACTCAAGAGCTTTCCACTCACCAGAGTTCTTTATCTCCTCCCCCTTAAGAAAATCCAGCAGCTCTCAGAGGGCTCCATGTTTGGCCACGGCCTGAAGCACCTGTTCCACAGCCGCCGACGGTCGCGGGAGAGGGAGCACCAGGCGTCTCAGGATTCCCAGCAGCAGCAACAACAGCAGGGCATGTCTGACCATGACTCCCCGGACGAAAAGGAGCGCTCTCCGGAGATGCACCGTGTGTCCTACGCTATGTCCTTGCACGATCTGCCCGCCCGGCCCACCGCCTTCAACCGAGTGCTGCAACAGATCCGCTCCCGACCCTCTATCAAGCGGGGAGCCAGCCTGCACAGCAGCAGCGGGGGCAGCAGCCGGCGCACCAAGAGCAGCTCTCTGGAGCCCCAGCGCGGCAGCCCCCACCTGCTGCGCAAAGCCCCCCAGGATAGCAGTCTGACGGCCATCCTGCACCAGCACCAGTGCCGCCCGCGCTCCTCCTCTACCACTGACACCACCCTGCTGCTGGCTGACGGTGGCAGTGTGTATCTCCTGGCTGAGGAGGCTGAAGGCCTTGGAGACAAGGTGAGGTGGCCCTTTCAGGTAGGAGGGCAACTCAGGGGTAAGAGCCATTTGCTAAGACCTGGGGAGGAGCTGGAGGCCTCTTTGGTTGCCCTGACACCTTGCCACCTGCAGAGTAATCTGTCCTGGTTGAAGGAGTCAGGGGTATAATGAAGCCTAAAATAAGAGATAAGCCCCCAAATGGCTAACTTTTGTTTGTTTAGGAGTTTTGTTTTGTTTTGTTTTGTTTTTTTGAGACGGAGCCTCAAGCTATCTCCCTGGGTAGAGTGCCATGGCATCACGCTCACAGCAACCTCCAACTCCTGGGCTCAAGCGAGTCTCCTGCCTCAGCCTCCCAAGTAGCTGGGACTACAGGCGCCCGCCACAACGCCTGGCCATTTTTTGGTTGCAGCCATCATTGTTATTTGACGGGCCAGGCTGGGGATTCGAACCCGCCACCTCAGATGTATGTGGCTGGCGCCTTAGCCACTTGAGCCATAGGCACCGAGCCTGGGAGTTTGTTTTTCAGAATTACATTTTGTTCAGGGTGATGTTAATCTTTTTCTTGTTTCCCTTAATCGTACTGTCAAAAGTAAGTATGGTTTAGAGCACAGACTAGAACTAGCTGTTTCTGCCACTCAGTAGCTGGATTACTCACGTCTTTGTGTCCCAGTTTCACCAGTTAAAAATGGGGATAATTGTAGAGTTGTTGAAGGATTGAGAGAGTTACATTTATAAAAAATACTTGGAGTAGAAACTGCCATATTATCATTTTTACTACTACTATCAACCAAAGAAGTTGCACAAGGTCCCCCCAGGACAGGAATCCATGAGGGATTGTTGTTTGGGAAGGAAGGATAAAAGCTACTTGGGCAATTGATGAACTTGCCAAAGAGTGACGAGGCTATGAGAGAGGTTATAAGAGCTTTGAGGGAGAGGAGACTGAGAGGGGAGGGGAGCTGGCAAGGATCTATGGGAGGAAACCATTGAGCTGAATTTTGAAGGAGTATTGTTTAGACAGGGAGGGATTAGAGGAGGGTAAAGCATTTATAAATGCTAGCAAACTGGTGCTCAGGGCTACTAGGGGTCATTGTCAACCCTTGTATTCAGCACTTTGGAGACTGCTGAGGCCAAATTATAAAAGCTGTTGCCAGGTTTAGTGTGAAGATATCAAAGGGTGGTAGGCAGGGCTTCAGTGTAGATAGTAGTTGCGGAAGGCAACACAGGATTGGAGTCAAGGAAACCGTTTTTGGAACTGGTACAGTAGTCTAGGCTGCGGCAGGGGGATGGAAAGGAAGAGACAAGTTCAAAAGACATTTGGGAGTGAGACTCAGTAGTACTAGGTGAGAAAGTGAATAAGAGGCAAAGAAAGGGGAGTAAAGGATGATTCTAAGGTTTCTGGCTTAGCAACTTCAGAGACGGGGGAATTTTCTTACTGAGGAATCATGGGAAAGGAGCATGTTTTGGAGGGAAGGTGATAAGTTCACTTTTGTACCTGTTGAGTTGCAGGCACCTTGGGGAGCTGTCCAACTAGAGAGGACCAACTGGCAGTTGGGCTAGTGGGGTAGTGGTGTAGGCCAGGGCTACTACACAGAGGTTGAAATTGTGGGCGTGGATGAGATCCTCAAAGGGGTGTGTGTTGAGTAAGAAGGAGGACAAGGACAGATCCAACTGACATATAAGGGACAGGCCAAGCACCAGGGGCCTGAGAGGGAGTAGCCAGATGTGTAGAAGTAGACCAGAAGAGAGGTGATGCTGAAGCAAAGAGGGGAAAGGGGCTTGGAGGAGGAGGAGGAGGAAGTCATTCTCAGAATGAAGTGTGGCAGAAGCTGCAGATCAGGTCAGGTTTGGGAATGTGCATAGGCCATGGCAAGCAGTGGGGGTTATTGGATGGGGTAGATGCTGGAAGTGGAGGCAGCTTGTGTAGCTTGGCTGGGAAGGGTGAGGACAGGAGGATGTCAGGTTAAGACGTTTGGTTTTTGCTGAGTTTTCCAAGATAAGAAGACCTTGAGTCCATTCCCATGTGGGCAGGAGAGAGAGCCCTATTAGGGAGAGATTGAAGACAGTGGTGTGGATGGGCATTCTTGCTGGGGTGAGGTCAGTGAGTAGGTGAGAGGGTATCAGTGTTATCCATGGTCAGGAAGCACGGTGTCTCTGGGAGCCAGAAACGAATTCTTACTTGACATTCTTCTCTGTGGGGAAAAAAATCCAAAGGTATGACTATTTCTTGAGAGCAGTGGGGGAGGAGGGAGAGCTGGCTTGAGAGGGGCATAAAAAGTTCAACTTGGGGCACAGAGAGCAAGGCTCTGAGTAGGAACACGTGGTGACCTGTCTGGTGCAGCAGTGGCTCTCACTTTGTGCTGGCAGCACCCCAGGTATTGTGGTTTATTTTCCCTCTAGTGGTCTAAAGCAACCATGGGTAGGGACAGAGCTGAAGGGTTCTAAGACTGATCTGGGGTTAGTGGTTGCTGGCAGGGCATGCTGAAAGGTCAGGGGTAACAAAGGAGTTGAGGGGTTTGGGTCAGAGAATGCCCAAAGGATTGAATTCTTAGCTGACAGAGAAGGAGGTGGGGATAGGAGGAGGCTGATAAATGTGGAGAAAAGGATATGGGGGCTTTTAGGGGACCAGGGAACAGGTGCATTGAGAGCAAAGAGGAGTGAGAGAGACAGGAGAGGGCATTGGAGTTTGAGATTTGGGGGTTAGAGAGGGAAGATGAGGGTCAGAATATACTTACAGAGCATGGCAGACAAGGAATAAATGGGAAGACAATGGTTTTGAGAGAGCAAGAACTAAGAGGTTAGGCTGTGGAAGGGGCTGTCACATGACACTGAAATCCCCCAGGGCGGTGGCCAGGAAGGAGGGCAGCAGGTGGCTTTGATGAGTGCAGGGCAGAGAGGGGAGAGTGCAGCACCAGGGACCTCCGAGGAGGCCAGGATTGTCCTGGAGGGTGAGGGGTGATTGCAACACTAAACCCAACAGAATGCTGGTTCTGTTGGCCATGGAGGGAAGAGTCTGGAAGGGCTAGTTGGAAGGGCAGATAAAAGAGAAGACAGCCTGAGAGTGGAAGGAAGTGAGAGCAGAGAGGTGATGGATGACCAGATAGTCCTACATTTGGGGGATGTGAGACCTAGTGGGGTTTCTAGCATCAGTTTCCAAGGGAAACGATGGTTTGATGTTGTTTTTGCCATAAATTATCACCAGAGCAGATACCTCCCCACACGCATGATTTAGAATTGTGCTCCCATCCACACAGACTGTTTCTCCAGTTCTTTTGCATCTTGACATTTGAAAACGTTTGGCGGTTTGTTCATTCAACAAACATTTGTGTGTGTGCTGTATGCCTGGCACTGCATAGCAGCTCAGGTTTGGTTTTGTACTTTTCCAGTTAGGAAGTGCATTTGTAGACATCATTTCATGAATTCATTAAAGCGATTCTGTGAGGTAGGTAAGCCAGGTGATGATGTCCTGTTTTTTTAAAATAGCAAATAGATTTAAAAAGGGGGATACAACTTGTCTGAGGCCACGTAGCTTGTGACAGAGCTGGGCTAGAACCTGGGTTTCCTGACCCCAAGGCTAGTGCTCATTCCTCTGTGCCATGTGGCCCCTGTATGTGCCAGCTGGCAGCCATCATCAGTAATGGGACCCACCCTCCAGTATATTCAACACAGCAACTTCAGACCTCGCTTTGACCATAATCATCACTCCAGGGCACGATTTTCCAGTAGTTTCTCACCACTAAATGTTGAATTATTTCATTTATTCCACAATGACCTTGGTTCTAGATTTCTTCAAGAAGAAAGGACTTTGCACAGGTGATTATGGCCCACCTGTTGATAGCAGAGCCTTCCCTGGGCAGTGGCTGCCCTCTTCCCTTCAGCAGCAAATATTTATGGAACATCGACTGTATGCCAGACCTTATTCTAGGCATCAGAGACACAGCAGTGAATGTAAGCAAAGCCCCTACCCTCATGGAGCTTATATCCTCATGGGAGGAGACAAGCCATTAAATAAATGACTACATAATGAATTTGGTGGTGATGAGTGCTGAGAAGCAAATAAAAGCAGGGTGAGAGGACAGAGAGGTGTGGGAATAGGCGTGCTCTTTTGTCAGGTTGCTCAGAAAAGGCCTCTCTGATAGTGTGGGGAAGTGAATTGTGGACAGCTAGGGAAGGGCATTTCAGGTTGGCAGGCCAGTAAGTGCAAAGGTCCTGATGTAGGAATGTGCTCAGGGTATTCAGAGAACCTGCTAGAGTGGAGGTCAGTGTGATTGAAGTGAAGTCAACAAGGTGGAGAGTGTAAAAGAGAATCAGATGGGCCAGGGATAGGGGAGTGGGGAGGACTGCACGTCACAGAGGGCCTAGGAGGCCAGGAAAAGGATTTTTGATTTTATTTATCTCTGCTAAGATGGGAAGTCATTAGAAGGTTTTGTATAGATGAATAATACCTTCTAACAAGATCACTCTGGCTTCTGTGTGGATAGACTGTGAGCCAGGGGGTGTGGGCTCTAGTTCAGAAGCTGTTGATATACCCTGGAGTGAGGTGATGGTAGGAGTGCTGAAAGTGGGGAGAAGCGGCTAGATTCTGGATTGGTTTCAAAGATTGAGCCACAGAGGTAGCTGTTGGATTGGATGCAGGCATGACAGAAAGGGAGAAGTTAAAGATGGCTTATAGGTTTTTGGCCCAGCAGCTGGGAAGAAGAACTTGACATTAACTGAGTTGAGGAAGGTAGCAAATAGAACAGGTGTCTGGCAAGGGCTGTTGGGGGCATAAATTAGAGCTAGGTTTTAGGTACATTGAGTTTAAGATGGCTATTAAACCTCCGTGCGGGAATGCCAAATAAGCAGTCAGATGTACAAGTCTGGAGTCTCGGGGAGAGATCCAAGCTGGAGGCATAAATTTGGGAGTTGTCAGCATATAGATAGTATTTAAAATGATGGGACTGGACCATTTGCAAGCCTCGCCTCCACTGGGGAAAAGTCTGTTCTAAGAGTGAGCTCCGGATGTGTTGCCTAAGAGGGTAGCG